CCTCGGAAGGGTGGAAAAGGAGGTTGGATGGCAGCGGTTTCGGCGACAATCTCCGTAGAGCCCTAGGACTTAGAGTCTATATTTTCCTCCAGGATGGTGTGGAGGAATTTTTTGGGACATTGGCCGATTTGCAGCATATTGACAGTCAGCGAGAGCTGGTCGGCGATCGGGTCGGTGAGAGGATAGATGTCTTCAATCTGGTCAGTGAATTTGTCCCTTAGGTCATCCTGATGGATGGTGGCCATATCCCCTGGAGTTTGCTGATCGGCTTCCGATAAATCGGAACCGGAAGGTGGTCGACGCCGAACTAGAGTGGTCAGAGCCGATTCCATGAGGGAGAGGCAGTCGGTGAGCTTCTGGCCAACCTGATCGATGGATGCGATCATATCATCATTGCCGACCTACTTCCTCGAGTAGCGGGGCAGCAGGCGGCAAGTTGTTGGTGAAGACAACCTCGGAGGTGGTTCTGAGATTGGATCTGCTATTTTAGGCATTGGTGTGATTGGCGCAGAATCGATCTGCACCGGCTTGAAGATCTCTCCGTCTCTGTCAGCATTAATGACCCAAGAGATCAATCCGACAGTAAAGATTTGGCCAGGCTCTGGAGAGGACGAAGAGCTTGAAAAGTGTACCATCTTGTTCATCATGGAAATAGCACACACACCCCTACCTAGCGCGCCAATTGTCGACAGAATATTGTCGGTAGTCCTCCGAGGGGTATCCCACGAAGGTAGATTGATCGGCAGAGGCGCGTGTAATCAAGAACAAGAAGGCAACAAAGACACAAGAATTAGACAGGTTCGGGCCATCAGCACGACGTAATACCCTACTCCTGTGGTCTATTGGTTTGTATTGGCTATCGTATGATATTGCATGTGTTTTGAGGGGGTCCCCTACCTGCCTTATATAGCCGGGGGTAGGGTTACAAGTCTGTTAGATCTATGAGATAACCGGTAAGTAATAACATATTACAGGAAATCACGGGATCGAGCATATCCTAACAGATCTCGTAGCATCTTCAGGATATCACCCTTGATGTCTTGCAGTACACGCCGAGCAGTACCGTGCACCATAAGTCTTCGTCTTGTGGGATGGACCACCCCTGGCGGCGCAGCCCATGTAGTCTGACATGGGTATCCGGGGTCGTACCCCTCATAATTCTCCACCGCCTTCTAGGTTGCATCTACGCCATCCATTCAAGTCGGTTTGATTCGAGGGCTTAGGATTGATGCTCCGGCCTATATATACCAGCCCCTGCCACCCCCTAAGGCATCAAACCCTGATCAAGTTATTTGAGAAGACAGAAACCCTAATCATCCTTAGAGCTCCACTATATTCTAGGGCATAGCTAGCTAGGCTAGATCTAGAGGGAGGCAAGCTTCGCTTGGATTCCTGATTGAGTCAAGAGCATGGCTTGGTATAGCCTTTGTACCCCCTCTCTTTTGTATCTCTCATTACTTTTATATGTTTGCTATAATTGTTATGACATTGTTCTTCATATTAATCATGTTCCTAGTTATCATGTGCATCGTCTACTTTGATTATATGCTTAGTATAGTTACATTATCATCATATTCAAGCATAAGTTCGTATAGCGCTCGCTCTAAGGTACCAGGGGTGAGTGATCGACATTGTGTAAGCGTGGTGCTTATACGTTGTTTACCTGCGGATGCACCCTATATTTTAGGCCATGTGGTAGATCGCGGATGTGACACTCCCGTTGAGTCCTTTGTAGTCCACTCCCTGAATATAGGGCAAGTAGGATCTAGTTACGAAGGAAGACAAGCTCTGTTCTTAATCTTCCTTAGTAATATCCCTTATGTGTAGATATGAAGTTGATCTTAGCCATGACTACTAAGTGTAATTGCACTAATCAATGTATGCTTTGACTTGTAATTAAGAATGACTTAGGAATTATTCCTCTAATATTCTACTTAGCCATGCTAGTGCCATAGAAAGGAGTACTCTGAGTGATCATTTATCAGTTATCATTACTTATCATATGTATCTCTTGACTTACCCCTGTTATGAGTAGAAGTTTGGTTATGGTTTATTTCTCTATCGTACATATGAGTTATCAATATATTCCAATTGCCCGTCCTTCCCTGTGGTAAAAATATAAATAATGATACCTAGAATACTCCCGGGTGAAGTGCTACAATGGTGTGTATATATATATATATATATATATATATATATTCTTTCTAGTCACATGAAATACTAAAGTACTTCTTAGTGTCATTCTAGAAGTGGCACTAGGTAGTACCAACAAGTATTTCTGGCATCAGCGCTAGGGATGACAACTTAGTAAAAGTGATGCTAAGGAATGTCAACAACATTAGGTGGCTACTAAAACAAGTGACAAGTTAATAAATACCAACATTTGTGTAGGATGCTTGCATTGCGTGAATTAGAGCTAGTGCAAGTAGTTGCTATTAGCGTCATCTTTTATACTAACCACTTTGCTCTAGTTAGTTGTAAGTTTGTAGAAAATTTTTATAGGCTATTCACCCCCTCTAGCCATCTAGATTCTATCAATGTGGCATGCCTTGTGCACATCACTTGTACGTAGTTGACCATGGGCCTTTGCCTTAATGGACTTAATGGAAGCCTTGATTCTGGGTACGAGGGCCATTAAACAACCAACTCTCATTATGTTTATGTGATATCCTACTGAGGTGGATTGGTATATCGTAAGTATTGTTGTTGTAGTGGTGTTTTACTTGACCGCTGTAACACATTGCCTCTATGTGCTATTTTCTGTTAAGTGTGGACTTATGATATTAGCATTTCGATCAAAGGGGAGAAAGTTAGAATAAGTGATCTTATCCCATGGACAATGTGCGAGAATGTTGGAATAAGTCAAGGGCAATACATGACTTCCCTACATGCCGTAATCGGGAGCACCCTCAGTGACCGTAGGTTGTGGCCCCTCGCCACACAGCCCAATAAGAGGGATGGCTCCCACCCCGAGGAACTAACGTTCTGAGGTATACCTGATACCCATCCTCTTCTAAGATCTGATTTAGCAAGGGCGCTGGAGTGATGGGAAGGCCACTGCCGTTATGACACCATCCCTACTTACACACAGACATCGACATATTCTTCCCGGCGAGAAAGGGTACTCTCGGCGACCTCTACTTCGACTACCGATGGCGGACTATCCTGAAGATCATGGTTAGTCACTAATCCACTTATGTGTGTTTACATTAAATAGATTAGAGATCATGTGGTCTACTCCCTAATTTCTATAACAATATAAGGACAACTCATGAGTCCGAACCACATATGAGATACAGAAGGCGCAACAAAGCACGTCTTCGAATTGAACTTCTATCCATCATCGTCATACGCAAGTTATTCTAACTTATATGAGCATGAATCATATGAGTCTGAGTCACATACGAGAGAGAGGGTGTATGAAGGATGATAGAAACTCTTCACTGTTCGGTAGCTAGGGAATGATGGATAAAAAGAATGAGATAAATTTTTAAACTTTTAATATTATTAGATATTAGGTATATATAGATATATAGATGTAGATATCTTCTGCACCTAAAAAATTACTATCGCTATCGTCTGCGTCCCCCGTCCTGGCAAAAAAAACCGTTGCCCCCGCCCCCGGCAAAAAACAAATGCCCGTCCTGCACGGCAAAAAAACCATTTCCCCCCAGCAAAAACAAACGTCCACCCCGCCCCAGCAAAAAAAACATTTCCACCGGCAAAAAAATGTTTCCTAAATCCTAAATAAAAAACATATATGACACAAAAAGCCACCCTAACAAAAAAACAAAGTCCCCGTTTCGGCAAAAAAAACAACCGTCCCCGTTTCTAAAAAAAATCTATACGGCAAAAAAATAATGTTTCCAAGAAAAACATATAGAAAAAATGTTGACATATGCATATAATTTAAAAATAAACTAAAAATGAGAGAAATAAACTCTCTCCATGCGAAAATAAGTCAATCTCCTAAAAAATCAATTAAAATAGTTTTAGTAAGATATAAGAAGTTTATCTAAAGTAGACATATGCAAATAACAATTTCCTCAAATTCACCTTAGATACCTGTGGTGAACACAAGTGTTGTACTATAAAATGGATTTAATCGATTTCAAGGGATCATATCAAGATCACTATTCATCCTTCACTCGACATGCGTTCGTGTTCTACCCGGTTCTGATACGAAGACTAAATCTACGTGTCCGCGTCCAATATAAAGTCTTCAAAGCTCACACGTTCACATCCTACCCAATTCTAATACGAAGATAAAATCTATGTGTCCGCATCCAATACAAAGTCCTCATAGCTCACGAGTTCACGTCCAATTACTAAGATTTATTCAAAAAAAATTAGCCCCCGTATAACAAATGGGCATTTATCTAGCCCCCGCAAGCTACGTGCGTTGCTGTATATGTGGATAAAAAATTATTGACCCGTGCAATGCACGGGCATACTGCGCCCCTGCCCGCGTTAACCCCGCCCACACACGCCAGATCATTTTTTTGGAACCACGCCAGATCGTTAAAACACCAAGTTTGTTACGAGTATGTACCCCGACTCTGCTAAAAAATAAACGAAAAAATGGATCGACCGGCCAAAATGTCCCGTAAAAAAACTAGAGACAATTGTCTGTTGGACATCCCAAGTGATGGTCATTTGCTGGCGGACCCACTTTAGAGCATTTTGCCAGAAGACACTCTGATTCGATGAAATTAGGCCACATGACACCGCGGACCCGCTGCAGCCGGTTGAGGAGAGAGAACAGCGATGAAATGACATTCTTGCCCCTACCGCTTTCTTCTTTCTCTCTCCCTTTCTCCGGCCGGCGCTGCTGCTGCTACGCGTGCGCCGCTGTAGCCCGCTGCCGCACGCCACTACTGCCCTGGCTTGGTTGCTCGTGCCACCGCCGCTGCTGCTTTCCTGCAAAGAGCGCTCACCTAGAGCAGACAGCAGAGGCATGGAGCATCTCTCTCGTGACGCCCGGAGCAGACAGTAGAGGCATGGACACCGCGGTGGAGCTGGAGCAGAAGCCGGCGGTGGGGTATTGGAGTGTGATGGGTGCGCACCCCTACGACGCGTGCGCCGCGGAGCCAGCGTGGCTGCACTGCCGCGAGGACGGTGTGTTCCTATGCTTCGGTTGCCACGCCCCTGCCACCATCACCTGGCATGCCGACGTCGCCGCGCTCTGCTCCGCCTGCGACGATGACATCCACTCGGCCAACCCGCTTGCACGCCGCCACGAGCGCCTCCCCGTCGCGTCCTTCATTGGCGCGCTCGCCGACGCACCACAGCCCTTCCCATCCCCGGCCTTCGCCGTCGTGGCACAGAGAGAAGCGAGACAGAGGGAAAGTGAGAGGGAGAGAGAGAAGGGAGAGAGGAGAGAGAGAGGGAGAGAGGGGAAAGGAGCTGGGGAGTAGGGTGCTGACGGCAAGGGCATAGGTGCCGACGGCGGCGCTCTACACACATCTCCAATTGAGCGAGAGAGGGAGAGGGAAGGTAAGGCAGAGAGGAAAGAAAAGTATGGAGGAAGCAGGGAGAGGGCAAAGCGACTCCGGCCAACGGCGACCTCAGCTCCGGTGAGGTGGCCAGCGGCGTGCGCTGGTCAGGTAAGGAGAAGAGAGGGAGAGGTAGAGATGGAGGGGGTGCTCGGCAGCCGTAGAGGCAGGCGAGCGTCGGGGCGTCGGAGTTCTGACTCAGCCTGCGACCACCGTGGCCAAAATTGCTGTCGCCCGACGCTCGCAGTCCACCCTCGCCGTAGCCGAGCACCGTCGCAGTGCCCTGCTTCTTCCCCTTCTTCCTCCTCTGCTCTGCTTCTCGCGCCCGCGCGTGGACGAGACCGAGGTTGTCGTCCTATCATCAACCTCGCCGCAACTCCACTAAGAAGCACCGCCGCCCAGAGCCTAGCTCCCACCGGCGCCCTACCCCTCTGCTCTCCCTCCTTGCCTTGACTTCTCTCTGTCACTCTCCCTCTATTCTCTCTGTTGACCGTGCGAAAGGGAAGAAAGCAGAAGCCAGTAGCAAGCGCCCGCCACCACCTTGCCGTCTCGCTGGTCGACGGTGGTGGCTGCTGCTCAACAATGGAAGAAGAGAAGAGGAGAAAAGGAGAAAGAAGAAGATGGCAGGTGGGGCCCACGCATCAGTGAGAGGGAGAGGGGCGGACCTAACTGTGGCTTAGGGGCGCCGGATGCCAAAACAAAATTTTCTCTTTCCTCAACCGGCTGCAACCAGTCCGCGGTGTCCTGTGGCCTAATTTCATCGAACCAGAGTGTCTTCTTGCAAAATGCTCCAAAGTAGGTATCCGCCAGCAAAGGACCATCACATTGGATGTCCAACAGACAATTGTCCCAAAAAACTAAGGCTCCGCATCCAATACAAAGTTCTCATAGCTCACAAGTTCACGTCCAATTACTAAGGTTCACTCAAAAAAATTTAGCCCCTGTGTAACGCATGTGCATTTATCTAGCCCCGCAAGCTACGTGTGTTGCTGCATATGTGGATAAAAATTTATTGACCCGTGCAACGCACGGGCATACTGCGCCCCTGCCCGCGTTAACCCCGCCCACGCACGCCAGATCGTTTTTTTTGGAACCACGCCAGATCGTTAAAACACCGAGTTTGTTACGAGTTCGTATCCCGACTCTGCTAAAAAACGAACGAAAAAATGGACCGACCAACCAAAATGTCCCGTAAAAAAAACTAAGGCTCCGTATCGGACTCAATATCTCCCTCATCCCAAAAAAACAAAATCTTCCTCCCTACCAAAAAAACAACTTCCTGAAAAATCAAATAAATTACTAAAAAACAACTTCCTGAAAAATCAAATAAATTAGCTTTATTATGATATAATCAGTGGAAATATATTTCTTTTGAATTTTATCCTAAAAAGGCTCCGTATCGGGTTTAGAACAAAATCTACCTCATCAGTACCAAAAAAAAAGAATATCCCTCCCTACCAAAAAAATGTATCAGACTCAATACCTCCATCAGTACCAAAAAAAAATCTCCCTCCCTACCAAAAAAACAACTTCCTGAAAAATAAAATAAATTAGCTTTATTATGATATAATCAGTGGAAATATTTTTCTATTGAATTTTATCCTAAAAAGGCTTCGTATTGGACTTAGAACAAAATCTACCTCATCAGTACAAAAAAAAATCTCCCTCCCTGCCAAAAAAAACTTCCTGAAAAATCAAATAAATTAGCTTATTTTTCTTTTGAATTTTGCATGTCTATAATCTCATTACAGACAAATAGTAAAAGAAGTTCATCTTAAGATCTCAATCTCGTAGTCATAGGTACAGAATAATTTCCTCAAGTCCACTTTAGATAGTTGTGATGAACACGGATATTACAATATGACCCACATGGATTCATTTCACGTGATCACATAAAACCTGAATTATGTTATATAATTGAACATGAAATGTAAGGATGGATCTATATCTCGCTCAAAGTTTTTTTTCGTAATGGTATAACACATAAACAAATTTAAATTTAAATTATCAAAATACTATTTTTTCTGATGCAACGTACGGGCATGATTCTAGTATAGATATTATTATTAGGTGGATATATATAGATTAGAAGAAAGGCACGGCACGGTTTCTTTATCTTGAAAACACTGTATACACGCAGTGGTCGGAAGCTGTCCGGTTCGGAGTACAGGACAGAGCACCGCATCCGCTTTGAAAACCGCGTGCGGCGGCGGCTACTGCTGCCGACTCATCCTGCACGTTGCGCAGGCAAGTTGTAGAAAAGGGCAAAACCCAAAGCCAAGCGCACTGCAATTTTACACAAACACCCCTTGCCCGCCGCCTATTTGTATTTTCCGCGCCTCGCGCCTCGTTCTTTCTTCCTTTTTTGTTTTCTTTTCTTTTTTTCCCCCAACCCGTCGTCGGCTGCGGCACTCCTGAAGGTCGGAGGAAGCCCCCAAGCCTTGCCGCCGCCGGCGACGAACCCTACATCGGGAGGGACGAAGCGATGGAGGGCGCCAATGGAGTCGGCGGGTCGGAGAGCGAGCGGAAGCCGCTGTCGGAGGTGGTCGGCGACTGCGTCCAGCGCTGGTTCCAGGACGCGTACAAGGAGGCGCGCAAAGGGGACATCGCCAACCAGGTGCTTGTAGCGCAGATGTTCTTCTCGGGTTATGGGACCCCCAAGAACGAGCACAAGGTATAGCAACGCACCTTGTTTAAAATGAGATCTCTTTTGATTCAGGTTCCTTATTTAGTCGTCTGTGCTAGGTAGATGGGGATTCGATTCAGCTTCATTGTTTAGTTTAATTTATTATTATAGTTTCTCCTTTTCATAGCGACGATTTTCCTGTTTGGACGATCTTAAGGGACTCCTGGGTACTGGGTTTACCTGATTAAGTCAAGATTCAGATGTGTAGGGGTTTTAATCTGCGGACTTGCTTCCTGGTTGGGAGAGTTTTGCGTCGTTTCTAAAGAAAAGATTAAGCCCCCCGCCCTCCTGATTAAACCACAACAGAAACGCAGAGTATGGGGCGCTTCGTTTCTCTTTCTGACTGAAAATTTGGGAACTTAGTTGTTGAATTTTTGGCGGATGCAACAGTAATATTAGTATTTCATCATAATCTATCCTAGTGATTCAGATCCACCCTTAAGTCGCTTTGTTTGCAGTTAAGGTACTACATCCAATGGGATTCAACAAGCTTTTGTAGTGTCGACTGCTGCTTTTCTGGGCCTTTTATGCAATCTGCTGATAAGAACAATTGTTTCTCAATTTTGAGCACAAGCCATGGTGTTTGTTAATGCTACATAGGTGTAGCATGTACTTGTGCTTTTTTACTTGGTGATGAAATTATATATTTTTTGTTGTTAATAACTTCATGTTTGTGGTTGCATCCTGTGTGCCATTCCTTGGAGCTTAAGGTTGATTGATATAAAAGTTGTTCTGTTCATTCCTGTTTTTTTACTTTTTGTTTTGCCACTAACAATAACTGGCTTACAATGCTTCGATTCTCTCTTAATCCGGAGTTCTTTTGGCAGATCTGTTCATTGTCTACTCTCCATGGATATGTGAATTTGGGTTTACTTTAGGTTAAAAATCACTATTTTACTGGTATAAAATATAAATTGACAAACGGTCTTTGAACTTGCCCAGCGGTGACATTTTGGTCACCAACTCTCAAATTTTGATATTTATGCCCTAAAACTTGTACATCCATGTCATCTGGGTCATTGAACTTGTCACGGGCGCTAGAATTGGTCCAAATGGGCTTTGATCTCTCTCTTCAGCTCCTGACCTCCCTGAGCAGCGTACCGGCGATAGCAGGCACCCATGCATAACGAGCCCTCTCTTTTGTGTCTTCTTCTTCTGCTGCTTCTTCTCTGCCTCGTTCACCTTTGCCTCCATGGGCCTCGACCACCAAATCGCCCCTTGGGCACCAAATTAGCACCTCCACTCTTGGCCTTGGCCACGCAGATGGACTGTGGTGGCAGGCACCTTCACCAGATTTGGGAAGGAAGAGGCTTGAGAGAGGCGCTAACACGTGGTGTCAGGTCCATGTCAAAACGTAATCAGCATGTCACGTCAGCGCATGGAGTGGGTCAAAGCCCGTTTGGACCAATGCTAGCACCCAAGACAAGCTCAGAGACCTAGATGACATCACCACATAAGTTTGGGGACCCATATATATATCAAAATTCGAGAGTTGGGGAAATAATACTGGCATACAATTTCGTGAACTCAAATATCAAATTTTGGGAGTTGGGAACCGGGATGACACTGCCTTGTAAGTTTAGGGATTGGTCATGAAATTTTCTCAGTTATATATGATATTTTCTTAATTTTCTCATGATATGCAATATTGTTGAGCTCTTGCTTTTTGGAATCATTTTATGGTGGGTATACTCATTAAAGGATTATGCATTTTGCACAGTAAGCATGTTTTTTATCTGTTGACATCATGTTTCATGACTTGTGTATTGATTTGGCGAGTAAGTTCAAAAGGACACTAGAATGCTTCTTTTCTTTATCTGTGGGATATACTTTTACGGTTCTAAAAATACATATATATACTTAAATAGATTCAAACCATATAATGACTTTCCAGTTGGTAACAATATCAATGCTCTATGAATGGTGAAATTTCTTTTTTTCTTGGAGTATATAAGCAAGCAGAATGTGATTGATGTGGTGCGTGGTGAACCTGGCCTTCTATTCTCCTTTTCAGTTTCTACATCTCAGAAGTAAAAATAGCACACTAGGTATACATTTTTTTTCTCTCGAAAACACAGGAGAGCTGCGCCTCATTATATTAAGAAGAGAAAAGGGCAAGAGCCCAAATAACCCCACAAACACACTCACGCCCCAACAGTTAAAAGGATTACATTCGCGCCCGTGACAAAAACCACACAAGGTGACCACTACTGAGCTAAACACTCTAAATACCGGG